GAACTTGAACGCCTTCAATATCATCAATACATTAAATATATTTAATAATCGTTTTGTCCCGCACATAGTGCGGGTTGTTATCTAGTTGTTTTTTATATATTTTGATTAAAGAGATAAGCGAATATAGTGATCTCTGTTCGACGAAGCTTCCTCGAATATTAACACATAATAATTTAAATCACTAACAAGTTACTAATACTTCCTTTAAAGTTTAAACACTCCTTTTCCCTTTATCTGTTGTTTCAACAAATTCAAGATAGGCCGACAAAAAGAAAAAACAAGATAGGAAGAGTACCTTTTTTGGTAGGTTATCAAAAAGAAGATAGAAAGTACATATTTTTTCTAGAGGTTGATTAAATAATTATGTCATTACCATTACCATGCTGCTTTTTCAAATATTTTACAAACTAATTAAAACCTGTGTCTCTCAATTATTTCTTCTTTTCTATATATAATTGTACTTTTTTTGTGATCTCATTAGCATGTTCATGATTTTTCTATCAATTAAACATAGTTTTCAATTGATTATGGATATAATGGTTGCAAAGGTCAGGATGTAGTCGAGACCCAAAAAATTAGATTGTAGCTTTTATCTGATATTCCTTTCCGGCCCATATCACTCATTCATACCAAGTTGATTGGGCCATCACAATTATATTTGACATACCTTTCAAATTTCACATCTACATAAGCTGAAAAATACATCTATTTTCTATGGTTTTTATGATGTGAAGCAATAACCTAACGTCGTTTTGTTTTTGTCGTTGCCCAATATGTAGTTCAGAACCTTCAGGTCACACAAACCTATTCCGGCCCATTTTTGTGTATTCCTTGGGATGTACTAGTATTTTGTTCCAAACATGTGTATGATTTTAACCTTTTGTTTTTGAAACTTTGGGACGGGTACGCCGCATCAGGTAACCCGTCCCAAAATGGACCTGTCTAGTTTTGATTTAATTCAAGTAGGAAAACTAGTGCATAATGATTGTGATTGAACTTGAATCTATGATCGTCGACTATGATTAATACAGACTATGGAAAATGGCATTTCTAGGCTCTCATGAACTTCTAAGTAAGAAAATGTGTCCAAACATGAAATTTGATCACTGGAATGTGAAACCTTGGTCGATTTCATTGTCAGTTTATTTAATATTAAAAAAAATCAACAACTAGTAGCATCTTTACCATGAGGTAACATATTTAGTAAACAAGTCTTATTCTCTTACAAAGCTTCGATCACCTTACCCATGTGTAAAATGTTAGCATCTAATGTTGCAATTTTAACTTTTTGACACATGCCAAAAAGAAAAAGAAACTACACGTTGTTTAGACCGATTTCACATACTTGATGTTTCATGAAAGATATTTATGATTCTTTAAACCTTAAATCCATGTTAGTTTCTATACATGACAAAGTATTTAAAATATAAGGATTTAAAATATAAGTAGGTTTAGTATGATAATTAAGCATAAATGAATAGAGAATAAAAGGATTTTGAAGCTTGGTATTTGAAGAGAAAGACTTTTCTTAATGTTCCGAAAGTTTTCTATAATATACCAACAACTAGCTAAGGTAATATATGTGCAATTATATTACGTGGCAAGAAACTACAATACTTAAAATTCAAAAGAGTGATCATAAAGGTAGTCGGGTAAGAATCCAATGATCCGATCCAAGCATGAACAAGAAGAATAGATAAGAGAGAGACCACCTTTGATGGGCTATGATATTAGTGTTCTAAATTTGAGGCAGAAAAAAAATCGACAATGACAAGTTTGAAAATAAAAACGGTCCATTTCGAGATAGCAAATTTCAAATCAAATTATTGGTCAAAACTTTTTTTTAAGAAAAAACTTGAACGATCAAGAAAATCGTTCACCGTAAAAAAACTGTATAAATAATTTTTTAATTATAAAGATAATATTTTTCTTTTGTAATATGATAATGGAAAATAAATTATGTTCAAATGATAATACTTCAGACCAAAAAATAAAAAATTCAAGTGCTTGTTATTCAAACAATCAATGGGACGCTTTTTAAACAAACATACTAATATGTGAAAAGAAAACAGCTAATATATATTCAGTAAACAAAATAGGAGTGAGGAAAGGAAAAAAAAAAAGATGATAAAACACAACATAATTAAAGAAATAGTGAAGGAAGAGAATATAATTTGAGAAGAAACGACACATCGTCTCCGACAAAGATTTTTGGACTGTACGGACAAAGCATGCTTCATTCTTCATCATTCCCCTTGGCCTTAAAAGTTAAAACCTTTGTTCTCAAATCTCAATATTTAATATACTAGTATTGTTTCATCTCACGGTTAATCCTCTACCTCACTTTTGATATTTCCATTATAAAACTCCACCATAAAATTGGCATTGCACTAGCTAAGTTACTTCAGAGTTTCTAAGACCTAATCCAACTTTTAAATATAGACATCGTTTAACAAAACCTTTAATTTAACCATCTATTCTTTGTAATATTGGGACAATAAAGTAACTGCAAAGCCTTTTCATGGATTTAAGTTAAACCTTTGGATGTGAAAACCGATAACAAAAAGTTTATAGTGTTATAGATTACTGAAGTAATGAGTTGCAATCTCTGTATAATGAGAGTGTAATTGTTGAATGTATGTAGATGTACTTGATTCAGTAAGTGCATACCAAAATCATGATTGGAAAGAACCATTAAGAATACTGAATGAAGAGATTTTGAGTTTCTATATACCAATCAAGATAAATTAATAGTGAAAAAAAATTCGAGGTTTGGTTTAGACTTTGGTACGAACTGACTTCCATTATCATAAACATGTTTGATAAAGATTTTGGGTTGGTCGGCACTCGGCATTATTAAGAAACGAATATAGTTTTAAGATAAATCATTTTGAACTATTTTTATTGTAGGTTATACATGTAAAAAACATTTTTTTATAGTATATATAGAATTTCTTGGAAATTGTAATCATTCTTTGGAGAGACAGAGGGATCTCCAAACCCTAGAAATTGACTCCTTCGAGAAATGTTGCCTTCTTCGTGTAAAATGAAAACTAAATTATAATTTTATATTTTTTAATTCATTTTTGCAAACGAAAACAAATTCACCGTTTTGCCTTCTAGTTGAGATTGAATGCGTCACCATGAAATCATGCTTTAATCATATTCTGCGTGAGTGGGAAAACAACTATTTATAAGTACATAGTACTACTTTTCGGATTAAATATTTTCCTCGATTTAAACCAGAGGTGCATAATATAGGTACTTTTAAATATTGTTAGTGATTTTTCCTACTCTACATGCTCAAATTACAAGAAAAAATATGCATATATGGTGATTTAATGATTACGTGAAAAGTTCCCACGGTTTTCGCTAATGACCCGGCCGCATTGTAGTTGTATAAACAAAGGGTATATATAATTTTAGCATGTTGGAATGAATTTTTTTTTTTGATAATGGATAAGCTTTATTAATATACCAAAATAGTAAACTTGTTTATGTTACATGAAGTTCAAAGAGTATAGCCATTAGGAATACTCAACAGAAGCAAAGATACAATTTTTTTTCTTATATTTGATTAATCCTAAAAAGATACAAATTATTAAGCAACTTATCTTCTAGGGATCATTGTAAAAAATTTGTTTTGAAATGGAAACTTTGCTTTAATTTATGTCTATATATCTATGAATTTGTTACCTTAGCATATGCTTTTTACGTCGATATTTTTATTGTATATCTGACACAATCAAGTAGACAATTATACCTAGCATATAATCAGGCTTGTCTATAGACTCTATACCAGTTTATATGTTTAATGTATGTAAGTTAATCACATATTCAATGATCTGGTGGTTTATTTGGTAAAAGGGAGTATTTATTCCCTAATGAATTAATGATATCAAGACAGAGCAACAACTAATTTTTAATGACTTTTTTCGGTATAAGAAAAAGAACGTAATATATGTTTCTTAAAAATTTATGAACAAGTTGATAATCCGATGTTATGAAGAGTCATACAAACTTTTGACTCATTGAAACGTAATTAGCTTTGTTAAATGAAATTCCTTTTTAAAGTGGGTACGTATAAAACTCTACGCAACGCATGTTGATCCATTTAAGTCACCATCAACAAAGAAATTATATAAATCATTGGGTTGGATGAAGAAATTATATATGAATAAAAACAGGAGAAATAGCTTAACAAACTAAATTATCAGAACTTACCGTAAAATAATTTAGTATTTAAATCACAGAAAAGTAAACTAAATAAATGGAATTAATAGGGTTTAAATTACATACGATATTTCGATGTAAGAAATATGCATAGATGCAAAACACTTGTAATATATTCGAATATGTTATACACCGTATAAAAAAGTTTTCGAATATATAACCTCTTTTTCTGTTTCTATTTTAAAAATTTTGCATTCTTGATTCTCAGCTCATAATTCGATGAATTATGATTTAGAAAGAAGAAAAAAAACCATAATTCGATGAAATAACAAAAGCACCTTTTCCTCCCTTACTTTATGAATAAAGCTAAAGCATGGGAAAAAATGAAGTATAGAAAAATGAATTAGTGATTATAACAAGCTTTCTTAAGCTAGTAAATATTCTTACATAAACTTACACACTTAGGTTTATCTGTTTTATGGTTAGATTATCGTAAAGACTAGAATATTGTGTTCATGAATTAGAAAACTTATTCGTCCGTTCATCCAAAACTAGTTAATCGTTACATGATGTAACTTACATCGAATATGGTCCATATGGACATCCAAATTTATAGAAAAAAGAAAGAAAAAAAGAAAGAATATGGACATCCAAACTCTAAAAATGAAAAAAAAAAATAGAGAAAAAAGAAAAGAAAAGAAAAGAAAAGCGAGAGAGAGAGAAAGAATGGTGTTAAATACATGAAAAAATCATCATTGACATCTATCGATTGCTCAATTTGTTTGTCTCTCTTCTTCTTTCCTTTTCTCCAAAAACTAAAGCATCGAGAAACAACAAATCTCAAAATCTTTTCATATTCTTTTAGTTGAAAGTAAGAGAGGCAATGAATAGAGGAGTGTTGGAGAGTTCGCCGGTTCAACACCTCACGTCGGCTGGAAACCCTAATTGGTGGAATAACGTCAGCGGCGGCTTGAGGCCACCACCGCCGTTTATGAGTCACCAGCCGCCGCCTACAACCACTTATCTTCCAAGTCTCTTGCCTAGCTTCTTCTCTTCTCCAACTTCCTCTTCATCTTCTTCTTCACCTTCTTTGCCTCTTCCTAATAGTAACCCTAACTTCTCTTCTTGGCTTGAAATGAGTGATCTGCCTCTTGACCAGCCATGGAACCTTAGTCAACTCCTCTTGTAACTCCCTTTCTATCCCTCTCCCTGTCTCTCGTTAGGATGTTTTCTTGGTTTTGTTTTGTAATCTAATTCGATCTTATGAAGTTTCTTTCTCCTTTTTTCATGTATATATACATAATCTACTTATATTATTGCATATACATAAACATGATCTAATATAGATTATGTCGTCTTTGAATGAAGGGGTGGATTGATGATGGGAGAGGAAGAGAAAATGGAGATGATGAACCATCATCATCAAAATCAACACCATAGTTACCAAGAGAAGAAGATACAGAATTGGGAAGAACAAGTTTTGAGGCACCAAGCTTCCATGAAACAAGAGAGTAACAATACTAATGGTTATAGAATAATGTCCTCGCCAAACTCACCTCCAAACAAGTCTTGTGATACAATTCACAACACCAATGAAGAAAACAACAATAACTTTCACAATGGTCTTAACTTGTCCGAGGTGGGTTAAAATAGTTAATTATCATCAGATCAAGATTTAATCTTTACCAAAGATTAATTAACGTCTCCATATGAATATTCTAATTTTTTTTTTGTCTATGTGTGTTCATGAAGTGTAATGGCTCAGAGATTATTGGGTCTTCTTTTGCAAATAAGAAACCAAAGCTTCAAGTTCCTTCATCACAATCAACTCTCAAGGTAACTAACTAAATCCATATGTCTTTGTTTCTATCTATTGCTGACATTTTAAATAACAAAACAAATGCACAAACATAAAGGAGAAGTAGAAAAAAACAAAAGAGAATGGGCACAGAATAAGCTGCATGTGTGTGTGATTGTAACATTTTTGTCTTTCTTATGTGTCTTCTTCTTCTTGATCTCATTATTCTTTTTCTCTTTCTTTCCTATGATTCAACGGTAGTTACGCAATCCTTTTTTGTTAGTTTTTATTTTAAAATGAAAAATAGAAACTAAATCTGTTTTTTCAGTTTGATTCAGTTTTAGCTCAGCTTTCATTTTCTAACAAAAATTTTAAAATTAAAATTATTGAAGTTAATTATGTTTTCTTCTTCTTGCTCTGTTTATTTTGTCCTGTCTAAATTGATATTGTTATGTTTGTAACAAAATATATCTTTATTTTGATCAGTTATCAAAATGTGTCCTTTGTCCTTTTTTTTTGTTTGGATCTTGACTCATCGATCTAATTACATTAGTTAAATAACGAAATGATCACATGTAGTATATTTATATATGATCTCTTGGTTTATCAAAGGTGAGAAAGGAGAAACTTGGAGGCAGAATTGCATCTCTTCACCAGCTAGTATCTCCCTTTGGCAAGGTATAATTACTGATTAATTCCCTTTACTAATCACTTGGTTAAGATAATCAAATTTCTAAATCAAAATTGAATTATATTAGTCACTGTTTGGTTGATTGATCCCTTTTATTTCAGACTGACACAGCCTCTGTCTTGTCGGAGGCTATTGGATACATTAGATTCCTCCACAGTCAAATTGAGGTGACTTGTCTTTTCCAAACTACCATGCTTCTTATTTCATTTATTTCAAGACAAATATTTATTCGAATCTTCCCTCACAACTAAAACAAAAACAATCTTGTGTGAACCCAAGTGTGGATTCCTTGGAGTTCTTTTTTGTTCTTTATTCGGATTTTTTGATAATTATAAGAACTGAATAATATAAGTAAATTGTATTTTATTGAAACCATAATTACCTTAGGTTTATGTATTTCTATAGCATTAATGAATTAACGACTATATTTTGTGAGATTAGTTTTGGATTTGACTCTAAAAATGTAGTTAAAAATCTATTTAGTTTTGTTGTCTCTAAAAATTTGTTTGTTTTTCAAAATTACAGGCTTTAAGTCTACCATACTTTGCTACTCCCTCGAGGAATAATCTGATGCACCACCAACATGTAAGTATTAAATTAACATACACCTTAGTACCATGTATACTGTAATTATATTTAATGCACATACATGCTTGTGTTTCTACTTACACATCATATAATGGGGCATTAAAATGTATTTGATTGCTAATTATAATTAATTTGTAATTATGTGTATACAGACACAAGGAAATGTGAATGGTATATTTCCTGAGGACCCTGGTCAGGTACGCACATAATTTTTTTAATTTCTAGTTTTATGCACTTTACTTTTTATTGGATCAATTAAACCCAAATCTTAATTAAAAAGAAAAAATAGTTGCCAGCTTTATTCCAAAAAATTACCCTTTTTCTCTAATATTGTTCTCTCAGTGAAATGACTTAGATAAAGTATGGTCAATAAAATAAAAAGATGACATTACCAACTTTCCTTTTCAGTCCTTTATTAAACCTAGAAAAGCCACGTAAATGATTTATTATATATATTTTCCTTCATCAAAGTAGCTTTGGTCACAAAAGTTTTTTTTGGCAAATGATCGATCGAAATCAACTTTTCAAACCAAGATATCACGATTTTTTTTCTTTTTTTTTTTTTTTTTTTTTTTTTTTTTTTTTTTTTTTTAAACTTTATTATTAAGCCTTACATAAGATATCACGATTTACCTTGTCCCACAAATGGTTTTATATTTTGTGACTACTTGTGAATATGAAATGTTACATTGTCCCAAGAATTTGGGCTGTTGCAAAGTAGGCCGACCCGTTTTGTGACCAATAGTCACACTAGAGCACAGTTTCTATATTTTTTTTAAAAAATATCTATGCTGAAGAAATCTTTTCTGATTTGGTTAATCAGCTTGTGAATGAGTATTGCATGAAAAGAGGAGTTTCATTGTCATCGACGGACAATCAAAAATCAAATCCTAACGAAGAACCGATGAAAGACTTAAGAAGTAGAGGACTTTGTCTTGTTCCAATCTCATGCACACTCCAAGTTGGCAGCGACAATGGCGCCGACTATTGGGCTCCGGCATTGGGATTCACTCTCCAGTGAACTATTTACTCTGTTATTTTACTTTTGGTCAGCCAAAAAAATTAGTTGATGTTATAACATCATGAGCAACCAATCTATTGAGAAAACAACAAAATGAGTTTCCAAATTTGATTGCTCATGATGCTATACTAACACAAATTGGTTTTGGCGTTTGGCCTTTGAACATTTTCTGTTGACGAGTATGAGATGGTATGTTGAATCATGTTTTGTTGCTTTAATAGGAAACTTTATTTATTCTCTTAAATGTATATGTGATATGATGGTTCTATTTTAATTTAATTATTGTTTTAATAGAAAGGTTTAACCGTTTAAGATGTTTTAAAGATGCAAAGAAATGTTGTTTTGGGAAACGAAAACAGATGTACTTATAGATATTTTCGGTTCCCAATAATTTAGAGACTGATGTTATCTTCTATAAATTGTTTAAGTTTCGTTTGTTTTAGTTGTCTTCTTAGATTTCTCATGCATGGTCTAAGCTCAGATTATTTTTAATCACTTGAGACATCTCACAATGGTACCATGGAATTGGTAGTGCTCAATTGGTGGGTTTATTTTAGGCCTTTTGCTCCATCACTATAATTGTGTTTATGGACTTTGAATCAAATTCTACAGGCCCATGTTGACTAATGCAGAAATTAGTACTGGTGCAGATAAGTTATTAGAAATCAAGATTGCAAAGGTAGCGCTATTTTTAGGTCACATATTGTATAATTTTGTTGGTGCATGGCTTGTAGAGTTTATCAAATGTTACATTGCTACTTATTAACGGTCATTGTTCAATGATGAAAGACTATAATTCTTGAATTAAGTCTTAGATATCTAAAATGGAATTTAGGGCATTAGCTTAGCGTTAATTTCACATGGTCAGTGCTTTAGTGTTATGCAAATGAATTTGAGGAAGAAGCATTAGTTGGATTAAAATTTTATTAGAATGCTTTATAAACTTTTGCAGTTCTTTACAGTGAAGAGGCCTTCGACGTATTAGACTATTAATAGTTGATGTTCCTATTAAAACACCAAATATAGCTGTCTTTGAGAATATCTTTCTTTTCCATGCAATTAAAAAGAAAAACTTTTATAAGAAAAACCTTAGTAGTTGGTCTCTTGCAAAACGTTTCATGTGTCCCAAATCTAGTGACGATAAGAGTGTTAACTTTTTTTTCTTCTATTTAACTTGATCTAGTATATTTTGTTTGCTTTTAAATATGTGTAATTTCTTAAACAAAATGGGTATTGGCGAGTTCTTAATATAATGTTTGATAAAAAAAAGTTTTCAAATAAAAATGAGTTTTACTGTAAAATTTTGTGAAATCAAAATTTTCAAAGTTTTAGTGGGAAAAATGAGCTTTAAAAAGTTCCTTTTTGATGTCATAAAATTTTTGCCATTAAATTTAAGATTTTACATGAAAATAAGTTTTAATTTTATTTTCATTTATTAGTGACATCAAATCTTTAAAATAGAATCACAATATTATGTAAGCTTTCGATTCTCAAGTAGGAAGCAAACCTGCAATGAAGCTTCCATGCTACCTAAGTCTTACAAAATTCTTACGCCTAATCGCTAAGTAGCATAATGAATAAAACCTAAAAATTAAACCAATTACAAAAGTCTAAACAGTAAAAGTCCATAGGAAAGTATCTAATCTTGAAGTTGAAAATTATAGTTCACTCTTTGCGAGTTAAGCATGGAGCTAAAGCCATCAAAGAAACTCTTATAGGGTTTGAGATGATTTACGGAAAAGGAATTAAACCACGTATCACCGAAAAAATTAAAGTTAAATCGTTTATGAGGAGTGAATAATTAATTTTATTTAAGAGTATAATTTTGTTTCTGACAATAAATTTGATTAACTGACATAAAAGTTATACGGTTACATGTATATGGTTTTCAGTTTTTATTGTAGGCTTTTTAAGTCACAATTGTGTGTTTATTAGTAACAAAAAACTAAATACTCTTCTAAAATTTACGTATCTATTTAAAAGATAAAATATTCAAAATAAATCTTCTAACTTTTGGTAACGCGTGTTAAAAAAGTCTCAACCTTATAGCAAAACAAATATCTAAGTTTTTTATTGTTGACTACCAAAATAAGCCTGAAATTAGTTAACTTTAACAATGCTATTACATTAACTAAATGTTAATTTTTAGTTATTAATTTCTTATTGTCAAAAGATAATCAAACTGTTAACTAAACATAATTAAAAGATAAAAATCATTTTCAGTTTCTATAAATCCCCAGTATCAATTTTAAACCCTAACTCTTCTAGTTCAATAGCCAAAAACAAAACAAAAAACTCTTCAAATCCAAATTTTTGATTGCTCATGATGCTATACTAACACAAATTGGTTTTGGCGTTTGGCCTTTGAACATTTTCTGTTGACGAGTATGAGATGGTATGTTGAATCATGTTTTCTTGCTTTAGTAGGAAACTTTATTTCTTCTCTTAAATGTATATGTGATTTGATGGTTCTATTTTAATTTAATTATTGTTTTAATAGAAAGGTTTAACTGTTTATGATGTTTTCATACCAACTCCACCACTAGGTATGAAAATCATGCAAAGAAATGCTGTTTTGGGAAACGAAAACAGATGTAGTTATAGATATTTTCGGTTCCCAATAATTTAGAGACTGATGATTTCTTCTATAAATTGTTTAAATTAATGTTTCGTTTCTTTTAGTTGTCTTCATAGATTTCTCGTGCATGGTCTAAGCTCAGTTTATTTTTTAATCACTTGAGACATCTCACTATGGTACTGGTCTGGAATTGGTAGTGCTCAATTGGTGGGTTTATTTTAGGCCTTTTGCTCCATCACTATAATTGTGTTTATGGACTTTGAATCAAATTCTACAGGCCCATGTGGACTTTACTATGATGTAGTTTTCAGTACATTTCAATCAGTCAATATATGAAAATTTCAATGTGGAGAAACTTCTAGTGGCTTCATAAAGACTGCATTTGTTGATAGTAGTGGTGCAGATAAGTTAATGGAAATCAAGATTGCAAAGGGTAGCTATTTTTAGGTCACATATTGTATCATTTTGGTGGTGGCTTGTACAGTTCATCAAATGTTACATACTTACATAGCTACTTATTAACAGTTCATTGTTCAATGATGAAACCATGAAAGATTATAACTCTTGGATTGAGTCTTAGAGATCTAAAATGGAATTTAGGGCATTAGCTTAGACTTAATTTCACATGGTAAGTGCTTTAGTGTTGTGCAAATGAACTTGAGGAAGAAGCATTAGTTGGATTAAAATTTTATTAGTATGCTAATATAAACTTCAGCAATTCCTTACTGTGAAGAGGCCTTCAACGTATTAGTAGTTGATGTTCCAATTAAAACACCAAATATAGCATGGTTTGAGACTTGTAATATCTTTCTTTTCCATGCAATTAAAAAGAAAACCTTTTATTAAAAAAAACAAACTAAGTAGTTGGTCTCTCGCAAAACGTTTCATGTGTCCCAAATCTCTAGTGACGATAAGGGTTAACTTTTTTCCTATTTAACTTGATCTAGTTGATATTTTGTTTGTTTTTAAATATGTGTAATTTCTTAAACAAAATGGGTATTGGAGAATTCTTAATATAATTTTTGATAAAAAAAATTTCAAATTAAAATGAGTTTTACTTCACAAAATTTTCAAAGTTTTACTGGGAAAATGAGCTTTAAAAGTTCTTTTTTGATGTCATAAAATTTGTGCCATTAAATTTATTATTTTACATAAAAATAAGTTTCATTTACTAGAGACATCAAATTTTTAAAATAGAATCACAATATTACATAAGCTTTCGATTTCGTTTCAGAAGTAGGAAGCAAATCTGCGATGAAGCTTCCATGCTACCTAAGTTTTACAAATTTCTTACGCCTAATTGCTAAGTAGCCTAATGAATAAAACCTAAAAATTAAACCAATTACAAAAGTCTAAACAGGAAAAGCCTATATGAAAGGATCTAATCCTGATGTTAAACATCATAGTTCACTCTTTGCGAGTTCAGCATGAAGCAAAAGCCATCAAAGAAACTCTTATAGGGCTTGAGATGATTTACGGAAAAGGAATTAAACACATAAACCATGCATTACCAAAGAACCAAAACTAAATCGTTTATGAGGAATGAATAATTGATTTTGTGTAGAGTAACAAAAAACTAAATACTCTACTATTTTTTTTTTGTGCACCAATACTCTTTTAAAATTTACATATCTATTTTAAGTAAAAAATATTTAAAACAAATCTTCTAACTTTTGGTAATGCGTGTTAAAAATGAAATCTCAACTTTATAGCAAGATAAATATCAAAAACAATTTTGTTGACTACGCAAAGTAGACCTGAAATTAGTCAACTTTAACTATCTATTTTATTAACTAAACATTAACTTTTTAATTATTAATTTATTATTGTCAAAAGATAATTAAAATGTTAACTAAAACCATAACTAAAAGAAAAAAATCATTTTCAGTTCTATAAATCCCCTAAATCAATTTAAACCCTAACTCTTCATGTTTTAAACCAAAAACAAAAAACAAAAAACTCTTCAAATCCTGATTTTGGAGAAGAACATAGATACGCAAATCGATTCCTTTTCATCACGCAACATCAACAAATCGTCAGTTTCGATTCTTTTTCTTACGTAGATTTCTTTTTTTTCTTTTGCTATGTTTTCGAAATATTTAAAACTATTGGGGCATTTTCGTGAAGAACCAAATAATTTGGGCCAAAACCGTTATTTTAAAACTTTACTTCTCTCTTGTGTCCTCACGAGTAATAAATTTGTTTTTTTTTTTTTGTTTAAATAATTTGTGACGATCGGACGGTGAAAGATCAACGAAACTTCAAACCTGATATGAATAGTAATCGTCGGATCAACGTATTTAATAAGAACCGTAGGATCAAATTGTCAGTGAAATCTAACCGTCTAATATAATCCAGAAAAATTGAAATTTCAAAACATGTATAAGAGAGGGAGGAGAGCAGAGTTAAACAATAAGCTCTCGCGAAGACGAAGAAGAAAAACCCCAAATTTCTCTGTTTTTTTTTTTTTTGGATTCCTCTGTGGTTACCAAATCTCTCTTCTTCTTCTTCCTCCGAAGCTAAAACCTTTCAAAACCCTAATTTCATCTATCTATCTCTTTAACTCTAGATCAAAAATTCGAATTTCAAAATCCAGTTTTTGAGTTTTAGCAGTCGCCGATTCGGTTTCTGGGTTTTCGTAGAAACGGGATTAAGGGTAGATTCAGATCTTATAAATTTTGTTGATTTGTATTTGGTGATTATAAATTTTGGGTTTTTTTTTTTTTTGAATAAATAGGGAAAATTTTCTGGGTTTCTTCTGAGAAATTCGAAATTTTATTGAGATGGGAGAAGGTGAAGAAGGAGACAAATTCCCGCCAAAAACGGATGAGGTTACACAAGAGTCTATGAAGTCGGCGAGGCAACTCGATTTTACTGGTGTGGAGTATTCACAGTCTAATCAACCTCCGGTTACATCTTCTTCGACGGCTTCTGCATCAATCCCTTCACCGGTTACGCGGCCAATTACCAGTCAGGCAAGACCGGTTACAGCGACTGTGGCGACTCCGATTCCACCGCCGCCACAATCTCAGGGCATCCTTCACGTCCCAATTAGACATCCGTAAGTTTTCAAAAATTTGAACTTTTGGGAAGTTAGTTAATAGAGATGTGTTTCTATGTTGCTGAAGTCAGATTTGGGATTAAAGCATAGATCTTTACATAGAGATTATTGAAATTGAGATTTTGATATTTCATAATGATTAGAGCAAGGTTTGAATTTCTAGAGTTGACACTTGTTTCTTCTCTTTTGTAAGGCCTGTGGGGGAAGCTAGAGATGGAACCCCTCAGAAGAAGAAACAGTGTAACTGTAAACACTCACGGTGCTTGAAGCTGTAAGTCTCCATCATCAAACCATTTGATGAGAAACTCTTTGTTTCTTTGTGGACTTTGTAATATGAATTGAACACTGTGCAATGTCTTTTTGATCAGGTATTGTGAATGCTTTGCATCTGGCTCTTATTGTGATGGTTGCAACTGTGTAAATTGTCACAACAACGTTGAAAATGAGCCAGAGAGACGAGAAGCGATTGGATCAACTCTGGAACGGAATCCGAATGCGTTCAGGCCTAAGATTGCTGCTAGTCCACACGGCGGACGAGATAACAGGGTACGTGGTTTACTTATGGTGTTATGCTCTTTAAACTGTTGGTCTTAAGGATGTTGGATGAGTTATAAGTTTTTACTCGATTTGCAGGAGGAGGATGGTGAAGTTGTGATGTTAGGGAGACACAACAAAGGCTGTCACTGCAAGAAATCTGGATGTCTTAAGAAGTATTGTGAGTGTTTTCAAGCAAACATTCTTTGTTCTGAGAACTGCAAATGCTTGGATTGCAAAAACTTTGAAGGAAGTGAAATTAGACAATCTCTCCTTCACGGTGAACATTCCCACAACGTGGCTTATCTTCAACACGCAAATGCTGCCATAACCGGAGCTATTGGTTCCTCTGGCTTTGCATCTGCTCCAGCTCCTAAGAGAAGGAAAGGTCAGGAGATTTTTTTTAACCAAGGACCCAAAGATTCATCCACTCATAGGCTTGGCCAGGTACATCATTTACGCAAAAACCTCAAGTTTATTTGCTTAGTCGGGTCAATATTCTATATGATTTCCTTATCTGCCCTCCTTTGTTAGAGTAATGAGAGATCTTATTGTATAAGTACTGGTATCAGGCAAATAGTGGAAGAACCACATCTCCGAAAACTGGTTCTCATGCTGGAGGCAATGCGTCGTTAGGCCCATCCAAAGTTGTATATAGGTAAATTTCTGATGTGTTTACAAAGCTAAATTTTTTCTCTGAGATTGCAGAAACTAAGTTAATATGTTTTCTCTTGAAGGTCTCTTTTGGCAGACATAATTAAACCGAAGGATGTGAAAGCACTCTGTTCTGTTCTGGTTGCTGTAGCTGGGGAAGCTGCAAAGACATTAACAGAAAAAAGATTAGCATATCAGAAAGAAACTTCTGTAGCTTCTTCTGTGCAAGATCAAGGACACAGCAATAATAAAGGTACCGAGGGTGAAAAAGCTGCGAGTGGAAATCAAGCTGAGAAATCTGGTCCAGATGGCTCCAAAGGGAGGTCACTATCTCCAGAAACTTTGGCATTGATGTGTGACGAACGGGACACAATGTTAATGGTTGCAGCTTCACCTAATTGTTCGGTGGAGCCTCCCTCACAGCTACCAAATGGGCAAGACCAGGTTTATGCAGAACAAGAGAAAGTAATATTAACCAAGTTCCGTGACTGCCTTAACCGAATTATCTCCTGCGGAGAAGTAAAAGGTAGACATTTCTTATATCATCATGAAAATGGAGTATATACCCAAACATAAGATTCACGTTTTCAAACCTAGTTTTTTTGTTTGTTTGTTTGTTGCAGAATCAAATTGTCTGATGTCACGAATGGATCTAGATACACCTGTACACACTGCTGTCAACGACCCAGTGGTTCATCAAAGACCAGTTGCAAATGGAGTTTCACAAACCGCAAAACAACCTTCCCAGTTAACCACAACAACAACAACAATAACAACTACAACAACAACAACAAAAACGACAACAACACCAAACACATCCTCACAAACTCTTCTTCATAAAACTCCAGCTTTGTCTGAGAAGAAAGACCTCTGAATCAATATTTACTCGTTTAGGAAACAATAACTTTACAGAAATGCAGCTGCATCCACCTCCATGTGCCTGATTTACGAGGTAATGCCACCAACTCTTCTTTTTCTTCCTCTTACATATTCTAAAACAGAGGAGAGGTTGCGGCTTCATCTCATGAACAGGTGCTTAGAGAGTATTACCATATAACTATTCACACAATTTTGATTGTGTTATTAGGCTTTCTTCTTCTTTTCTTTCCTCCAAATTCTTCTCTTTGATTCATAAGAGAGCTGTTTCTTTACAAATTGTTGTCATTATTTGTGTACATTGTTACTTACCATTGGCAATCACAGTGATGCTTACTGTGGAACATACATGCTATTGTCTGATTCTGATACGTTTTAGGAACCTGATGTTAACTTCATCTAGAGATTTGAAGAATAAATAAACCAAATCAAATTTTGGTCTTTTTTTGATCGAGGATTTAGTCAATTCTTGTAAAAATGGAAGAAATTTTTCAATACTTTTTCAAGAAAAATAATATTTTCAGGAGAAAGATTCATATCTAAGAAGAGAGAGACCTATCTTACATTATACACTTTTGTGAACACAAATGAAATATTACAACAATATTAAAGAGACTCCAGAGACACACACACACACTCATCAACAAATCCTAACAAAAAGAGAATCTTCTGGTTGAAACTATAAGCTTGTAGCTCTATCAATCGAGGACGAAGGTTTATCAAGAGTTGATAGAATCTGCGGCATTGACATTCCACCCGAGACAACAATCTCTGCAGATGCAGAATGTGAATAAGACGTTCAGTACCTTTCCGCAAATAAATTTGAATGATATCTAACAATAAATGTATCTAGGACAGACAATTAGATTCTGAAATCTCACCTATTCCTTCCCGGACAGAGAGATTTGGCCTGATAACGTCATTACTGTTGACAAGTAGTATATCTCCAATGTAAAGGTGGTTCGTGGGAACATATACACAGCAAAGTTCCTCCTCGGTTGGGTAGTTCTGCAAGGATGAAGAGCATTATTACATTGCCTTGAAATTGTATCTGTCCTTTGTATCCTTAAAGGAGTAGTTCTGGAAAGAATAACCAAATTCTTGAGCCAAGCAATTTCACTCACCTGGAGAACAACAGTTGATGTAATGAAGCCAAATGCGTATTCACCTACACGGGGATGCCTGATGATTGCAACTTCCTTGAAAGCTTGTGTATTTTGATCTGAAATGAGAAGGAACAAAATGGATAAGAACAAGTTGAGATTGGAAAAAATGATCACCATAATGTTGAGAAGCAAAATAAGATTTTTTTAAGCTAGACCAGGCGATATGGCAGTGCTGATTTGCTTGGAGGCGTTGTAGATGTGACGAACAAATGGCATCCGCTTGATAAACCACTCTCCCAAGTTCAGAACCGATGCACCCAACCACGAAGACATGAACACCCCGACCAAGAAGATGAATGCAATGGAAGTCAAAAAACCGAAACCTACAAAACCATAATCAGACTCATGTGAGAAACCGATATCAAGTTGTTAATACGATAAAAGAGAGGCAACTCAAATTCTTACCAAATACGTTGATTCCAAGTTGTGCATATATTGGAGAGAAGAATCCATCGACAAAGTGAATAAACCACCATGTTATATAGAAAGTAATGGCAATAGGAAGTAGGATAACACTGCACAAAGCAATTGAGATTTAAAACTATCAACATAAGTTTTGTTGAATCTGTGACAACTTCATCAAATGCCAAAATTTCAACTCCTCCTTACCAGCCTGTCATGAACTTCTTTGACGCCCAACCCCTAATGAACAAGCTAAAAGTCTGCAGAAAATAGCTAAAGCATCAGACCACAGTGCTCAATGTGTTGTATATGATTGAAAACATGAATTAGCATAACACAAAGACTAGAATCTGACGGATCACAACCATAACACTTGGAATCAAATTCATACTCTACTCAATCAGAAAAAGGTCAAATTTTTATAAGCATCTGCAGAATCAAGATCAGTGTTTGGCTAGTTAACACACTACCACACTTATCTAAGCAAGTGTTCTTGAAAGAGATTGAATCTAGGGTAAAACAAGTTCCCAGATTTTGAACTAAGAGGAAACAGAATCGGTTAAATCTCCGAAGACAAAATCTTGAAAGGAACTAAGAGCTTAAAATCAATCCAATTCTAGTGTTAATTTCGCATGAATCTTGAAATGAGAAAACGAAGAAGATCGTATAAGATTCAAGATCAGGAAAGTAGACCTCTTGGCTGGACTGATGCGAAGAAGAGGAAGACGAGGAAGAAGAAGGCTTTGAAGAAGGACCATCGTCTTTTTCGCCGGAATCAGCGACGGGAATCAGAAGCTCTCGATCTCTTTCGCGATTGGCCATAACAATCGCCGGCTTCTCGTCTCCCATCGCCGAGAAACTCAGGCGACAATGAAATCTAGTCGGAGAAGAAGAAAGAAGGGAGAAATGCCGGTGAAATGTGAACGGCGGAGAGGAAAAAGGTTGAGACTTTTGCCGGCGACTGTTCTTCTGTGCATAAAGCAAGCTAGCTAGCTAACTCCAACTTGAAGTTCTCTGTCGTTTTTCGATTTTTCTTTTTATATTTGTCTTGTTTTATTTATCTTTTTTTTTTTTTTTTTTGGTGAGTTTTATTTATCTTTTTCTAATCACATGATTACATTTTTTTTTTGTTTTAAATGTATTATGTAATTCAAATTAGTGTATACAATTTTCTTTTCAAAAGATGAAAAATATTAATAAATCTTTGTAAATTAATACATTTAAATCATAACAAATCAAATATATTTAATGATTGTTTTTTATGAATTTTTGGTTTCGACTCTGATATTGTATCCAATCAGAAATCTGAAATGGAAAATATTTTCGTATAACTTAAGCTTTATTATAACTATAAAAGTTGTTTTTACAATTTTCAATAACTTGTAACTTGTAAGCAAAAACTAGATAATAATATGTACAAATTCAATTCTTATTTGAATAAATAAGTTGAGATAATAGAAAATAGCTTAGGTTTTGTTCAAAAAAAAAAAAAAAGATAATAGTTTTGGTTGGATTAGTTTTCAAAAAATAGATACTTTTAGGCCCATTAAGTTTCTCACATCGTTAAAAAGGCCCAAACAATAAGCCCACTTTGATTCTCTCCTCCGCTATCAGATTTGAAGATTTGTTTCTCCGAGAGCAAGAAACCTCAGAGAGAGAGACGAAGCAAAAGAGAAAGAAGAAACTCCAATGGGTCAAGGACCTTCCGGCGGATTGAATCGGCAAGGAGATCGGAAACCAGATGGTGGTGAAAAGAAAGAGAAGAAGTTCGAACCAGCCGCACCACCTGCTCGTGTAGGGAGGAAGCAACGGAAGCAAAAAGGACCTGAAGCGGCGGCGAGATTGCCGACGGTGACTCCTTCTACTAAATGTAAGCTTCGATTGCTTAAACTGGAGCGAATCAAGGACTATTTGCTTATGGAGGAAGAGTTTGTGGCGAATCAGGAGAGATTGAAACCTCAGGAAGAGAAAGCTGAGGAAGATAGATCTAAAGTTGATGATCTTCGTGGTACACCTATGAGTGTTGGTAATCTTGAAGAGCTTATTGATGAGAATCACGCCATTGTTTCTTCTTCTGTTGGTCCTGAGTATTACGTTGGGATTTTGTCTTTCGTTGATAAGGATCAGCTTGAACCTGGTTGCTCAATTTTGATGCATAACAAGGTATTGAAGTTAGGGCTTCGTTTTCTGGGAAATTGAAATAGGAATTTAGTTGGAAGAGTATCTAATTTTACAATGCTCTTCCATGGAAACGCTAAACCAATTCTTCTATGTGATATTGTTTTGTGATAGGTACTCTCTGTTGTTGGGATTCTTCAAGATGAAGTGGATCCAATGGTGTCTGTGATGAAAGTGGAGAAAGCTCCTTTAGAGTCATATGCTGACATTGGAGGTTTAGAAGCTCAGATTCAGGAGATCAAGGAAGCTGTTGAGCTACCTTTAACACATCCCGAGTTGTATGAAGATATCGGTATTAAGCCACCAAAAGGTGTGATCTTGTATGGTGAGCCAGGCACTGGGAAGACATTGCTTGCTAAGGTTCGTCTTTTTAGCCTGTAGTGTATCAAGTATTAAAAGCTTCCTAGTTGTTTATCACTCAATTAAGTCTTTTAGCAATCTTCACTAAGCGAAGCTGTAATTCTTTGTCCCTAGAAAGAGAAATTAGTCAGGATAGTGGCTTCTTTGGTTTGATCACCTAGAATTTAGATATTAGATAGTAGTACTTGTGCAGATGGAGGAAGATTTTCAGAGTCATTTTACTGATCTAATGTTATCGTTTTCTGTTTTGTCTACTCGCAAGCATGGATTGTTGCTGTGTGGCTCTTTTTAATGTATCTTATGCTTGTTAAATTCGGAACTGTGGGAGATGAGCAAGTGTTATTTCTTGTTATTCTTTCAGGCAGTGGCGAATTCTACATCAGCTACTTTCTTGCGTGTTGTCGGTAGTGAACTGATTCAGAAGTATTTGGGAGATGGTCCCAAGCTTGTGAGGGAGCTTTTCAGGGTTGCCGATGACCTTTCACCATCTATTGTTTTCATAGACGAGATTGATGCTGTTGGCACCAAGCGGTATGCCTAAATACAACACAAACATGATCCATTGATAACAATGTTCTGGACTTTGCCTCGGAGATGGTGTATCTAATCTGTGATATAAAATGGTGGTTGAAATAGGTATGACGCAAACTCAGGTGGTGAACGTGAAATCCAAAGAACCATGTTGGAACTACTGAACCAGCTTGATGGATTTGATTCAAGAGGAGATGTTAAGGTCATCCTCGCGACAAACAGAATTGAAAGTCTAGACCCGGCACTTCTTAGACCAGGCCGGATCGACAGGAAAATCGAGTTCCCTCTTCCAGATATCAAAACAAGGAGACGTATCTTCCAGGTACCACACAATTGGTGAACCTGAACTTTTCTTTAATTTTGTGAGTTTTGTAGATAGCTCTGATGGGTTTTTAATTGCATTCCATTATTAGATACACACATCAAAGATGACTTTGGCTGAAGATGTGAACTTAGAAGAGTTTGTAATGACGAAAGACGAGTTCTCAGGAGCTGATATAAAGGCGATATGCACAGAAGCTGGTCTGCTTGCTCTTAGAGAGCGTCGGATGAAAGTAAAGATTCTCTGATTCTCACCACTTGATTCATCTACGTAATCTTTGAATAACCTTATTTGGTCTATTGGTTTAGGTGACGCATGTGGACTTCAAGAAGGCGAAGGAGAAGGTTATGTTCAAGAAGAAAGAAGGAGTCCCTGAAGGTCTTTACATGTGAAAGAAGCACAAACGACTATTTCAATCTCTTTTTCGAGTTTGCTCTCTTTTTCTCCATTTTACTATTTCACTCCATGCTTAGCTTTTTCTGATCATATAAAATCGTTTGCCCTTGATTAATCTGCTTCGAAATTACCAATTCATTAGTTTGCATTCTTCAGAACCACCTCATAGATTTTTTCATTTGAAATTTCCATTATTTTTACTCTGGTTATTACTAATATAGTCCAATTTGCAATTCTAAGCTTCTGTTGGTTACAACAAAAAAGTTGGAGTGGTACAAAACATAATCGAGTGTGCTTCCGAAAATCAATTCAATCCAGTAAAAACTGATCTGGTTGTACTAACATGGCATGAATGTTTGAAGAGTTTGTAGGAAGATTTTAAAGGCACATGAAAGTCAGCATAAGTTGCTGTCGATATTTGTCGACATATTGATGTCTAAATCAAATATTAAATACATACACTTCCAAGAAACTACGAAGAAAGTTTGAAAATTGCAATATAAAAAAAGGAGTTAAGTCGTGTGTTTTTGTACTTTAGTAAAGACAATAATTTCTAGGAAATTTCAAAGAAAGTTATAAAGAACTAAAGATGGTTACAGAAGAAGAAAGACTGGTATGATAAAAATTAAAAAAATGAATTCATCAAGTCTTACAATGAAACACGATGTGTTCATAAGTTTCAGGGCCAAAGATACTCGTGACAACTTTGTGAGCCATCTCTGTGGCTGTCTACGTAGGAAGCGGATCAAAACCTTCTTATATGACGAACTACCGGCTGAAGAGAGATACGAAGAGTCGTTAAAAGCAATCGAAGTATCGAGAATTTCAGTCATTGTTTTCTCGGAAAACTTTGGGGATTCGAAATGGTGTTTAGATGAAGTTGTAGCCATCTTGAAATGCAAAGAAAAGTTTGGTCAGATTGTGATACCTGTCCATTACCATGTTGATCCTCTCGACATTGAAAATCAGACAGGAAGTTTTGGAGATGCCTTTGCTAAGCGACGGGATTTAGCCGAACAGCTTCAAGAATGGAAAGATGGTTTTACAGAAGCCATTAACCTCCCTGGATGGAGTACTGCCTATTTGAGGTATAACCCCAAACTCATATTATAGCTCTTTTGCATTTAGTTTTTTTTTGTTATTGTTGTTGTTTGTGAACAACATGCATTATACATGTTTTAATCTCTGGGACTAAAATTATGATTCACTGCTTTCTCTACTAGTAAAAAGTGTGCTTGTGCTTATGCTTATGCTTATATTCCCAGTGATGAGGAGATGTTGGTGAATGAAATAGCTAGGGAAATCGAGAACAAACTTCTAAGAGCCTCAAGAACGAAGGTCTTTTAGATCAAAAAACCGCTTTGTTACTAACAAATTTATTGGCGAAAATGATTCGAATGAAACTTCCGTCTTTTTTTTTCTAAACAGGTTATAATTGAGTGGTCTCTAGTCATCACAAACCTCATATTGGAGATACCTTCTTCTGTTTTCGACCAGATCTCCTCTGCACGTAAACCTTTATATGCATTGGCTGCAATGTTAATGTCATTGTTATCATGTCTACTTTGCATCATAGATCTCTTACACAAAGGCAGAGTTGAGAGAGTTGTGTGGAAGTGGACTTGGCCTATTCCTTGGTTTCACTATCAAACTCAAAGATCAAACAGATTTGGTAGCTTTCCAGAGATGCTTGGCTTGGTTTGCGCCTTGTGCCAAACGACTATCACTGCCGTTAACTATTCATTCATCACGCGTAGAGATGATACTCCCATCAAATTCTCGGTTTGGCCAATCTTGTTTGCGTTAGGTTTACTTTGCACTTTGTTGATCAAAAGATCTAGATAATTAGTTTCATTTACTTGTTGTATACTATACATACACTCATTACTTTGTTATAATTTGTTCTCTCTTCTGTTTTTACAATTTTTTTCAATTTTAAGTTTTACGTTAAACATACAAAATTCATATTTATCACATATTTTAGAAGTTAAATCCCCCAAAACAATTTAAGTAACATCATCCATTCTTGTGTATGTCAGTCACTATATATAGGTTCTTTGTTGGTTTTCAATAATTTCAGATTTTTTTTTACTTTATTAATGTTTTCATATTTTATTAATGTTTTTCAGATTTTGTTTTTTATTTTATTAATTATTTCATATAAAAGTGAGACCATATATATAGTTGTTATGCTTCAATCATCTTTGGTAATAATAGTTTAAGATCCTTGATTTTCTATGAGGTCCTCCACCAAGCTTATCTTGTTGACTTTGTCAACAATAACTCTCATTTTGGTTACTGAGAGCCGAAGAACAATACCATCAAAAGAGGAAAAAAATGAGCTAGAGAAATTACTCAACCATATTAATAAACCTGCAGTAAAAAGTTTTCAAGTAAATTTAACTTTTTACTTTTAAAACTTTTGATGTTATTCTTAAAGAAAGAAATTGTTGAAATATGGGAAATTTCTATGTCCTAAGAAATTAAATATTGAATTAGCTCAGTTGTTATGACAGTGTAGGAAAGAACTAAAACAACTCATCATATTTCAATAATACACTTTCATTTTTGTTTTATCTGTTCAAATTTGATGTTGTTAAATTATACTAATTGTTTAGAATCAAAGGTATTTTTGCATTTGAGATTCAAAGAAATGACCGAATAGCCAGACCTTTTAACCTCAATTTGGAATCAAAATAACATTTTTCCAGACCACATCAATTTATTTTTTTGCTTTGTATCTTGTCAGACGAAACATGGTTACATATTGGACTGCATCGACATTCAAAAGCAGCTAGCCTTTGATCATCCTTCGCTCAAAAACCATTCGATTCAGGTTTTATTCTATAAATTACAACCAAAAGCTATTCAAGATTCTTTCTTTTTTACTAATGGATTAAATTATCATATACAGTTGAAGCCTACAATTATACCTAAATGGACAAGAGATAACAACACTTCTCAAAAATCAAGTTCTCTACCATTTCGACAAGCTGACGACATAAGTTGTCCACTTGGAACAGTGATTATTAAAAGAACTACACTTGAAGATCTTATACAATTTCAACGTTTGAAATCCTTAGGGTTCAAGTATCCAGCATCCCAAGACGAGAACTGCCCCGGTATAAACCGTCATCATGTAAGAAACATGTCTTGTTCATATAGTTCAGACCTTAACACCCTAACATGTGCTTATAATTTGTTTTTTCTCCTTATGATTATCTTAGTTTGCGATAGCTCAGTACTATAAAGACAATGATGGAGCAAGGGGAAACATTAATATATGGGATCCATTTGTCAAAGATGATCAACTTAGTCTAGCAAGTATATCTGTCGAGAGCGGTCTTAAAGATACGTTACAGAGCATCTCAGCTGGATGGATAGTAAGTCAAAAATCTAATAGTTTAAATTTCATAATAATTCAAAATATCTATATTATTGAAAAAATCAAAATCACCCAGGTATCCCCAAAATTGAACCAGAATCATAGTGGCTTGTTTACATATTGGTCGGTAAGATCCTCAAAAATATTTAAATTTTGGTAATTCATTACATATATAGTCTAGTTATACTGGATAAACTATCTTGTTTTTTATTGTTTAAAATAGGTAAATGGATATAACAAAACAGGTTGCTACAGTACATTATGTCCTGGGTTTGTTCAAGTGAGCAGCAAGTTCGCTCTTGGAGCTCGTGCCGAACCTGTTTCCATTTATGATGGTCAACAATATCAGTTAGAAGTCAGCTTATTCAAGGTATGTAGCACCATTTTTCTCAAATTACTCTCATATCAAAAATTTGAAGTTGCATAATATAATATAGTAAGATATATATATTCACCAAAAAAATGTAATAAAATTATTGACCAACCCAAATTTAAAATTTTAAACCAAACCACAAAACTTTTTATAGATCGCTTAGTATTATCTTCTTAAACCCAACAAATCAAAATTGTTTAGTTAAACCGAATTGAGAATAAACCAAAAGTCATGTGTTTTTGTTTTGATTTGGCTTCATAAACCGAAATTGCATTAAATAAAACCAAAACCAAAAGAAACTACAAATGTTTTCATTATGTTTCAATTTCTATTAATCCAAAAAGAATATAAAACAAAACAAAACTAAAATCTCAATCGCCATTTCTAAAAGAGTTAATGCTTTTGGTTAAATCAGGATTATTATACAGGAGATTGGTGGTTTGTGCTAGGCAACGAGCCAATTGGATACTGGCCAAGATCATTATTCCATTTTGAAGGTTTAGCTAATGGAGCAAATCGGATATTTTGGGGAGGAGAAGTTTTTAGTTCAGTGGAAAACATGATAAGCCCAATCATGGGAAGTGGACATTTTCCACAAGAGGGCTTTAAAAAGGCAGCTTTTGTGAATGGTCTTAAAGTGATCGATCATGTTTCAAAAGAAGTTACGAGTCCCCCAACTTCAGGTCTAATGTTATTCGCAGACAGTCCAACTTGTTATAACGTCCAAACGATATCAACGGTTGGTGAGGAGTGGTCTAGTGCAATTTTTTATGGAGGACCAGGAGGATGCACAATTACTTAACAGATCTTCTTTTTTTTTTTTAAACCAAAATATCTTATGGAATTATAGGTACAATTTCCTTATAATTAGCATTTTACATTTTAAAACTGTTTAAATTATAATTTTTTATAATTATCTTTTATCTTTTTTATTAAAATTTAATTTTTGATTTACACGTGTTAAAATCTGAGATCGATTAATTTAACATGTGGCACGATCCTATGAGTTACTAACTATGAAAACCATACTTTATATAATAAGATTTCGTTAATAAATAAAATTTGATACGTGATGTTACACGTGTCATGATCTAATTTAATGTAAATAATACATATGGGATATGTGATCTAAATATGCATTGAAATATCATTTCATTATGAATTTCACTACGTGGCTAAAAGAAATCGTAATTTATTTTTAATTGTTAATAAATGTTTGAGAAAAAGATTGGGAATAGAGAAATTAACCCTAGATAAGACACATGTATTAGATAACTTTCCAGTGCCGAAACGGTGGCGAAGAATTCAGAATCGCCGCAGGACTTTTGGTTGGAAATAAATTAGCAAAAAACATTGCCTTATTATATCTAAGTAAAGATAAACATTATAACACCATGAAATTCAAAAGGAACCGGCCACAAACCATGAAATCAAAGAGACGAAGGCAATCACACACTTAAAGAAAGAGACAAAAGCTAAGTCATCAACAAAGATTAAAGAACATCGAGATCAACACTTAGAAAACGAAACTTTAGGGTTTTAATTTAGATCCTTAAAAGCCCATTCGTTCTGCTTGCGAAGCTCTTCTTCTTCCTCAGGTGTATAATCGTTCTCGATGTTAAAGATTTCTCGAAATTCCTTTGGCGACTTATCTTTGACGTAATCTGCAATGGTGTTGCTAGTGAGATCAATAAGACCTTTGACTTTGAGATAGTCAGCAGCGATAAGGAGTTTGAAGAGTGTTTCCATATCAATGTTTTTCATGAACTCTGCGTCCCAAGTCATCACGAGCTCATTCTTTGCTTCACTATCAACATCATCAACGTGTTTCTTGCAATACTCGATAATGATAGCGAGGATCATTCCAGTGACGTTTTGAAGCAGGATTGCTTTATCGTCAGCGATCATGTCCGGTATGATCTCCAATTTACGAGCCACCGCTTCGTCAACCTCGAAAGATTCATCATCGGAGCTAGTCAACACAATCTTGTTCGAAGACATATTTCTTTTGTTTTGTTGGTTAAATGAAATTGATGAAGCTATGAAAGTCTCTCTTTTTATAATGAGTTGAGAGTGGGGTCAAATCTTCAATTTAGGAAATATATATAACAAAATCCTAATTTAATTAATTAGGCTATTATATTTTCTTTAAATATTTGATCCATATACTACACACATGCTAATAAAATAATATTGATTAGATTTTATAGATGTTATACTATTATTGTAATTTAATATTTAGAAAACTATTAACCATATATTGTTATAATTATAGATAGGATTGAATTTCACCTAAAGTAAAATTTAATTTTTGGTATCTCTTATCAACTCAATGTAAATTTTAACATATTGTATAACATACTGAGATTTTTTATTTATAAGTTTTAAAAATAAGTGTTTCTATGACATTTACTTTGTTCTAATATATTTACTTTTTCAACACTTAGCAACAGTTAAAGTGGAGAATTCAATAACAACAAACCATATTAGTTGGAATCTTCTTTAATAAATATTTTCAACAAATATGGCAAGTAAATGAAAATATATATTAGTAAAAGAAGTGAGATTGTAAAGTTAGCAACTACTCCCTCCGTTTCATAATATAAGTCGTTTTGGAGAAAAAATTTTGTTTCACAATATAAGTCGTTTTCAAATTCCTATGCAAATTATATATTATTTTAATATTTTATAATTATTTATATTATGCAGTCTCTTTTATGATTGGCTGAATTTTTTAAAAGTAGATCTTCTTAATATGCATGTTTAAAGCTAAAACGACATATATTATGAAACAGAGGAAGTAGTTAATAAACTTGAGCAGTCGAAGCAGGCCAAAAATATAATCATAAATCACATTATAACACCATGAATTTCAAAAGGAACCGGCCACAAACCATGAAATCAAAGAGACGAAGGCAATCACACAATTAAAGAAAGAGACAAAAGCTAAGTCATCAACAAAGATTAAAGAACATCGAGATCAACACTTAGAAAACGAAACTTTAGGGTTTTAATTTTGATCCTTAAATGCCCATGCTTTCTGCTTGCGAAGCTCTTCTTCTTCCTCAGGTGTATAATCGTTCTCGATGTTAAAGATTTCTCGTATTTCCTCTACCTTCTTATCTTTGATGTAATCTGCAATGGTGTTGCTAGTGAGATCAAGAAGACCTTTGACGTTGAGATAGTCAGCAGCGTTAAGGAGTTTGAAGACTGTTTCCATATCAATGTTTTTCATGAACTCTGCGTCCCAAGTCATCACGAGCTCATTCTTTGCTTCACTATCAACATCATCAACGTGTTTCTTGCAATACTCGATAATGATAGCGAGGATCTTTCCAGTGATGTTTTGAAGCAGGATTGCTTTATCGGCGCAATCTTCATCGATCATGTGCGCTATGATCTGCGATTTACGAGCCACCGCTTCGTCAACCTCGAAAGATTCATCATCGGAGCTAGTCAACACAATCTTGTTCGAAGACATATTTCTTTTGTTTTGTTGGTTAAACGAAGAATAAGATTTTTGAAGAAGCTATGAAAGTCTCTCTTTTTATAATGAGTTGAGAGTGGGGTCAAATCTTCAATTTAGGAAATATATATTTAGTAAATTTTCCTCTCTTTTTTTTCTAAATAAAGGAAGGAAAAGAAAAATAAATATAACAAAATCCTAATTAATTAGGCTCTTATATTTTCTTTTAATATTTGATCCATATACTACACACATGCTAATAAAATAATATTGATAAGATTTTATAGATGTTATACTAATATTGTAATTTAATATTTAAAAAACTATAACCATATATTGTTATAACTATAGATAGGATTGAATTTCATGATCTTAATTTAAAAATTTTGACTTTAAAATAACTAAGACTTTTGATTTAAAACTAAATAAAGTCATAAATAATTGGCTTTAAAAAAAATTATGACAAGAAAAAAATAATGGAAGTCAGTATTAAAAAAAAATCTTTTGAGGTTATATTAAAAATAAAAATTAATTAAAGTGTGATTGGAAAAATATGTTCTTAAAGTTTTTTTTTTGTAAAAAGCTAAATCTCCTATAATTTTAAAACTTCATCATCCACCAATTGTCGTTCCAGTGACTGTTTACAGAATTACCGGTTCTTTGTTAGTTTCAGTGGTTTCAGATTTTATATTACTTTATTAAGGAATTTCATATATTATTTATATATTCATTAATTTTTAATTGATTTAATTAATAGTTTCATATTAATGTGCACCATATATATAGTTGCTATGCTTCATTCATCTTTTGTAAAAAACAGTTTGTGATCCTTGATTATCATGAGGTCATGCACTAATAACCTTATCCTACTGACATTTTTCACAATAACTCTCATTTTAGTTACAGAGAGTCGAAGAACAATACCATCGAAAAAGGAGAAACAAGAGCTCGAGAAACTACTCAACCATATTAATAAACCAGCAATAAAAAGCTTCCAAGTAAATTGAGCTTTTTTCTTAAACTTTCTATGTTGAACGATTAAATTTATGTTGTTTTTCTACAAACACGGTCTATGATATAAGTATTTGTTGTTATAAACTAATTTAATAAAGCTATAGTATTTGTTTTGAGCCAATTTGCATTTTGGTTCTCAGTAATTTTTTGACCGACCGTGTTCTTTAAAGAGTGCAACAATTGGAGTTGCATTTTTTTCTTTTTTCAGAGCATATTAATGTTCTTTTTACCTCGTATTTTGACAGACGAAACATGGTTATATATTGGACTGCATCGACATTCAAAAGCAGCTAGCCTTTGATCATCCTTTGCTCAAAAACCATTCTATTCAGGTTTCATTCTACAAAATACAAGTAAAAGCTCTTCAAGAATCTTTTTTTCTTCCCTAATGGATTAAATTATCATATGCAGTTGAAGCCTACAACCATACCTAAATGGACAAGAGATAAAAACACTTCTCAAAAATCAAGCTCTCTGCCATTTCGACAAGATGACGACATAAGTTGTCCACTTGGAACAGTGATTATTAAAAGAACTACACTTGAAGAACTTATACAATTTCAACGTATGAAATCTTTAGGGTTTAAGTATACAACTTCAAAAGACAATATATATAACGTCCTCAATATGACCGGTCGTCATGTAAGAAACACTTCTTGTTGACATAGTTGAGACCATAACACCCTAACAAGTGCTTAGATTTTTTTTGTTTCTTCGTCGTTTGATTATCTTAGTTTGCGATAGCTGAATACTATAAAGACAATTATGGAGCAACGGGAAACATAAATATATGGGATCCGCCTGTCGAACCTGATCAATATAGTCTTGCAAGTATATATGTCGAGAACGGTTTTAGAGACGATTTACAGAGCATTTCAGCTGGGTGGATAGTAAGTCAAAAACCAAATTACTTCAAAATTTCATAACAATTCAAAAAGAAAACCTATAAAATTGCAACAAAATAATTATCTCACAGGTGTCCCCGAAACTAAATCAGAATCATAGTGGCTTATTTACATACTGGACGGTAAGTTCTTCAAACATATTTAAAGTTTGATAGTTTACTACATTGTCCAGCCACACTGGCTAAATTGGTTTTAATTTATGATTGGAAACAGGCAGATGGGCATGAGAAGACAGGTTGCTACAATACAGTATGTCCCGGGTTTGTACAAGTGAGTAGCAAGTTGGCACTTGGAAGTCTTGCCAAACCAGTTTCCATTTATGGTGGCGAACAATATTCTTTAGAAGCCATCATTTATCAGGGTATATAGCACCAAATTTCTCAAACCCTACTCATATTGACAAGTAACAGTTAGGTATATTGACACATAAAAGGTAATAAAAATATCGACCAGCCCAAACTGCAATACTTAAACCAAACCCAATGCAAATTTGTTTATAGATCGATGATTATATTTGTTTACTTATAACTCAACCCAAAATTTGTTTTGTGTAATCGAATAAAGAAGAAACAAAAATTTATGAATTTTGGTTTTGATTTGGTTTCATGAACCAAAACCAAAGAACTACAAATATTTTCATTTGGTTTTAAAACCAAAAAAAGAACTCTAATCCAAATCGTTACTGCTTTTGGTTTAAGCAGGATAATGTTACCGGACACTGGTGGTTTTTGCTAAAGAACGAGCCAGTTGGGTATTGGCCAAGATCATTGTTCCATGTTCAAGGTTTAGCTAATGGAGCAAGTCGGGTGTTTTGGGGAGGAGAAGTTTTCAATGCAGTGAAACAGAGGATAAACCCAATCATGGGAAGTGGACATTTCCCACAAGAAGGTTTCAAAAAAGCAGCTTTTGTGAATGGCCTTAAAGTGATCGATCGTGAAGTAGAAAAAATTAGAAGTCCACCAACTAAAGATTTAATATTATTCGCAAACACTCCAAAATGTTATAAAGTCGAAACAAAATCAGGGGTTGGTGAGGAGTGGTCTAGTGCAATTTACTATGGAGGACCAGGAGGATGCATAATTACTTAACAAATCTTTAAGTGTGTCTTCTATTTTTATGTGTTAAGGAAAGAGTAAAACAGATGTTTTCAAATACTATAATGTTAAGAATTCTTTTAACATCTTCTTTATTTAGCGAATACAATATTGATTCAACGGTTTGATTCATATGCATGTTTCTCAAATCTTATGGTCATGTAGATAGCAAGTCTTAAGAGACGAGAAAGAATAATGATCGGGTTTGTTGTATATGAACCTAGCTTTCTCATCTATTATCTGCACTAAGCCTCTGCAACCTCTATGTATTGATTCCTAGATCTCTGGATCATTACATGTACAGCTCTCTGAGTATAAAAACCTGAGAAGAGAGGACAAAACAAAACAAAACAAAACAAAACAAAAACAAGAAACAGATAGCAATATACATGTTAGGCCTCTCTGTCAATTTCTCAAAATTTGTGTTTGCTTGTGAAAACATATTCTCTTGCTGCTCTAGGCATTAACCTGTTGTGTGGTTTCCTTGATTCTCAGATTCCTTGCTACTACTTACTCTGCTCGAACTTGGGTACGATGTTGCTTGATTCTACAAGAACAAAGATAAGATCTTGTGACTTATAAACAGAGGACCTAGACTATTGACGAAGAGTGGTAAGTAAAGTACCTGAAACTGAGGTGGTTGGGTCGGGTGGAGACCGCGGAACTGCTGATATGGATCCATGTAACCTGGATACTGAGGCTGGCCCGACATTGGATCAAACTGCTGGTTTGGTACAAAGACTCTTGACGGGTCAGAAGCATGAACAGGGTATTGCGGTCCTGACCCGCCCATCTGAGTTTGTGTAGGCAAAGGTCTTTGAGCCGCTAACATGTTGGGGAATGGCATAAAGGAAGGAGGAGGAAGAGGCTGGTTCATACCCATCCCCATCGCCATGTGTGGCATGTACTGTTGCATACCCGGATACATCATTGGCATCATTCCACATCCCATTGACATCACCTGCATTAATCTCATGGTAAAGTATAAATTTTCATGAACTTAAACAAGAATACAATCATCTATTGGTTCCTAAAATTTTACTACTGTAAAACTTCAGAATCATTTCAAGAAAATGAACCTGTATTTGAAGCTGTAGAGACTTCATGTACTCAATAGCTTCATCAAGCATCGAAGCTTTATCCGACTGAGAATCAAAGAAACAACAATCAGCAACAAATTTTATGTATAAAAAATAACTTGAAGAGAAAGTAAAAAAGATCCAAGACCTTATTGCAGCGAGGTATGAGTTCTTGCAAAGCTTTCATCCTCTCATTGATTCTATCTCTCCGTTTCTGTTACCAAATCCGCGTCATTCTTTAGATTCGATGTCAAAATCTTTATCGAAAAAGATTACCAAAAACATAAAGAAAAAAATAAATACACAAACCCTTTCAGAGAGATTATGAACTTCAGCAGCACGAGATCTCTTGGTAGATGTTGTTGATCCACGTGCTTGTTTTGTTTCCTGCACCTCAAGAATACACCAAAAACGTTAATTTAAAATGCGCTGAAATCTATAAAGTTATACTAAAATGCGCCGAATCCTAATTGCGCACGATAGTTTCAAACGACTCACCTCGCTACGGCACTCAGCTTCCTCGGTGGTGGCTTCTCTCTCTTTTCGTTTCTTGTCATCAACGTTCGTCTTCTCCGGTTCGATTTCGCTCTTTGACACTACAGAAGACGATGTACCGGTAATCTCAATCGCCGGCGCCGTCATAGCCACTGCTTTTCCCTTCCGATCAAGTCCGGCAGAGCTTTCAGTACCATCCGTCCGCCGTGTTAAACCGGATTCACTCGCCGCCGCTGACGACGGTGTTGCGCTAGGACTTACCTGAGTCGATTCTCTCACAATCGTCTTCGGTCCAGATTCACCTCTACCGTTATTAAAATCCCCTCTCAGTCTCGAGAAATTCATAAAATTCCTCACCGGTGGCCTCGACTCATTCGACGAAGACGGTACTGGTACTGGCGGTCTTACGGCGGTGACCACATGACTCGTCGCACACGGAGGAGTTGGTGTAGCGGCGGAGAAGAGAAGATCAGAGCAGAAATCATCGTCACGAAGAGGATAATGAAGCCAAGAAGTCATTTCATCTTCTTGAATAAAAAGATTCTGATCTGTCGTAGGTTGCTGCTGCTGCTGATGATTATCCATAGAAGGAGGAATCGGAGCTTGAAGAAGCTTCGTCGGAGAAGAAGAAGGTTTCTTCGTGTTACTGTGAGGTCTCTGGTTTTGAACAACAACTTGACCGTTCTGCCATAAAAGCTCCATAAGATCATCATCTTCACCCCTAAAGTTTTCAATACTATAAAAACTCAGATCTTCTTGAAATATTAATAAATAAAAATCTAAACTATTTTTTTTTAAAAGTTTGAGAAAAAGAACTTACATAGTAGTAATGGATTTTCTAGGAAGATGATTCAAAGATGAAGAATTATGGTTGTTGTTGACATAATCATCATCGGTATCAAAGTCAGGGACAAAATGATGCATATTCTCTCTACAAAGATGATGATAATGGTAAGTATTAAAAAAAAAAAAAACAGTTATCTTCTTCTTCTGGTTTTATAACCAAAAAAAAAAAACCAGAAAGATCCAAAAGAGTAGTACTAGTGACTAAGTGTACTAGACAGAGAGATTACTAATCAGTGAAGAAACATATACCCAGCTTATATCTAACCTAGAGAATTGAGGTGGGTACTGGATAGGCTTTAAAAAAAAAAAGTTATCACCTTTATTTTCTGGGGAACTAGTATTGGCTCGTGTCTGAATCTATTCTAAATTTAATTTCGTGCTTTAAGAATGTGATAAGCTTCTTTAGGTATTTTGTCTTTTGGTTATATGTCTCTTGTTTTTGCCTCTTCGTGACTCTACTGTGTGTCGCATTTACTATGTATCAACTAACTTTAAACAGTAATAAAATCTCTGTTTATTTATGTGTATGTGTGTGTGAATAGAAACTTGTGCCGGTTTTTTAACCTCTGAATAAAAAACCAAGTTGAACAATAAAAACAAAATGTGTGAGATCATTTGTAGCTGACGGAGATAAAAATAATTAGCTTCCTTGTTTCTCATCCGTACTATAAATGATTTTCATGGCATTATCATCAAGTCTTAATGGATATAGATAGTTTACAGAGTTTTTTGTTCTGTCTGATATATATACTTTTTCAACATCTATGAAGTGAAATATTCGACCCAAGTTTAAATTAGAGGTAATATTTACAATTACCATAGAATATATTTTTCAGGGTTGATTGGTGAAATATATATATACTTTTTCAACATCTATGAAGTGAAATATTCGACCCAAGTTTAAATTAGAGGTAATATTTACAATTAGCATAGAAATATTTTCAGGGTTGATTGGTGAAATAACCAGAAAGTACAGAAGTAGCATGTTAATGACATTAAGTAGCAAGTGTTGAACTATCAAAATGTTTTTCGGTTACTATAAAAGTGTTGACATACTATAGTGTTAGACTGACATGAAATGTTTTTTTGTATCGGTCCGAAACCTTTCCTATTGATTTTTACGGTGCTTCCTCTATCAACTAATTTTTTTTTATCCATAGAAAGAAGGTAATTAGGCTCATACAAACTGTTTTGGTTATAATAAAAAATGTTTCTGATATTTGCCTAATTGTAAATCATTTGAGTGTCATATAGGCTAACTTTTTTGAGAAATTCTTCAAAATACCATATTTTCAAGTTTTGTTGCTAAAATATATATCACTATTAGTTTTGTTTTCCAAAAATACTACAAACACAAAAAATTGATTTTCAAGGGTTCATAATTTAAATTTTTTAGATTTGAGTTGACTACTTTAGATCTTCGATATATCTGTTAGGGCTAGGGTTTAGTATTTAGGTTTATGGTGTAGTTTTGAAGGTTGTAAGTTAAATTTTAGTTTTATGGTATATTTAAGAAACCAAAATTTATGTGATATTTTTGGAAAACCAAAACTTAGTGGTATTTTTGAAAATTGCTCTATTTTTTTATACCACAAAATTATGGATTTAAGACTACGTATATCTTGCAAACATGATATTAAAGTAGGTTTTAGCTTAAGTGAGTCGCCTCTTCTATAAAAAGAACTTGAATTCGTATGCGACAATAGTCACGACTTTATAACCATTTATAGTAGTCAAATTAGTGAACTAAGTGTTAATTTCAACTACCATAAAAGAATACTAAACTAGAGTGACTTTGATAGTTTGATTAAATCTTAGCGAACAATCAAATAAATAAATTTTTGAAGATCAGTTTAGAGATAAACACGTATATAATAAACTAATTAGAACTTATGTTTCTGTATATTTAATTTATACCTAATCCTGATTATCTGTTATATCTACCAATGAGCATTTTATCATTTTACTTTGGATAAAGAGCATTTATCATTGATATGGGAATACACACACGTATATATATATATATACATATTTTATATAATTCCAAGTAGGGAAGAAAGAAACAGAGAATCAGATATGGATTCACATTGGTGGGGACATATTTAGACAGAAGTTGGGGGTTTTTATTGGATACCTCAATGATTTATGAGACAGGGTAATATGTTAATTTTTGTTGCTAAACCACCCTCTTGCATGATCTAACTTAAAATTTTATTTTCTTTATTCGGATTTAGACATAATATATAAACCTCAAAAAATTTCAAACTCAATTTTTGTTGCTAAACCACCCTATTGCTGTTGTATAGGCTAAACTGATTTTTTTTTCTTTTTTTTTTTTTAAGGCTAAAATGAAAAAATATATTTTGAGTTACCATCAAAGTTACTTTGAATTAAACAAAACGCAAAACAGAAACAATATATTATCTTCCGATTAAAAGTCATAAGAAAAATATTTGATTAAATAATGATTTTATTTTATTTTGTTTCTTAGAGTGCAAATGACAAGAACTAAATGAAATTAAAGTCTATCTGGTTGTGGTTATATATTTAAACAAAATGCTAATTAATGATATTCCGAAATTATCATGGTCTTCCAGACTACATATGCTCATGCAAATACGTAGTTTTCTTTCTATACCAAATTATGACCTTGTAGGAAATAGGAACTAAAACAATGAGATTCAAGTTTAGAGCATCTTCAATGAGAATTTTTTAATGAGTCTCTAACTAATAATATATTTAAGAAAATAATAAGAAAGAAAAATGAGAAATTCTAAAGAACGTCTCTCATAATCTCATTTGAGAAACCCACAACAGATTCTCGATATACTTGTGTCTATATGATTGATTCAATTTTTTATAAAAAATTAAAAATTAATTATATGAAAATATTAACTCTTTATTGTTTAGAAACTCATTTTGGTTTTTCACCATTGAAAGTGCTATTATCATTTGAATATTTAAATTGTTGATTATCGATAATAATAATATAAATTTTAGAAAGTCATTGTCTACTTGATGATCTTTACCAGATTTGGTAGCTTTGGAATAAAACATCAAAAAGGTCTTCATTAGATTAATAGAATAACCTTTAGTCATCAGATTAGATACTAGTTACGTTAATATCGTTAGCTTTAAATATTAAATTAGCATGTTGGGTTTAAGGAAACGATAACCATAACATCAAAAACCCCTAATCATTTGCATAAGACAATGTTTTTTTTTTCCAGGTAATCACACGCTAATAATACTTTATTAAATCGTACGTACACTAATCTCCATATAGTATTTTCTGCAATGCTAATTAACTGCAATCACTCTCCCGATTCGTATACTAATACTATATACGTTTGAAGTTTGAAGAAATAAATAAATAGTGATTATAGCATACAGTTTAATTATTTTTTGTTGTCATGCAATATACATAATTAAATTTGGATAGTAATATGTTGACGTTGGTACAAGTAAAAACCAATAGGTTATAAGATCTATATATTATATAATTTATGTTTTAAGATAACATATAGATTTACCAATTTTTAGATGAATAATCGAATCCACTTCACTCGATTTGCATTAGTCTACTACTACGATTTAACATGCAACATATGTTGAAATTTCCCCTAAAAAAAAAACTAAAATTAAGAAAGTACATGAAATCGCATATTCGATATATAAACTCCAATTTAATAGAAATTATTATTTTAAATATTGATTAACGACTATTAATTTAAATGTGTTTTTAAACGTTATTTTACATATAATATATATTTAAAATGATTATCGGTTACAATATAATAAAAGTAGTAACATAAACTTGTAAACTATAATCTCCATCTTGTTCTGTCCTCCTGTCCTCCTATTCAAAGCTTCAAACTAGTAATTATTTAACATTTGTGCAAACAAATTATAGATTTAACAAAAAAAAAATATATATATATATATATATAGCCTAGACGCCTAGACTCCTAGACTACTAATGTTGAATTAAATAACTGGTAGAAATGATTGACAACAAAAATTTACAAGTAGAAATGATGACGAAATTGGTTGACACAAAAAAATGATTACGAAAATTATATTTGATGGCGACATGGCTATATTTATATTAATAATAAAATAAGAAATACAATAATACTATATTTAATACGAATATAGTAATCGTATAAGATAAGGTGGACCCAAATATTAGTAATTATTAAAATCTTAGATCTGACTTTATAATATTCTTATTTAGAAAAATTGCAAATGATTTCGGCGGTGGTTGGGGACTCATTTGCCCACACCTTCTATTTCTAGTACTCTTTTATTTATGTATGCCGAGAAAATAAAAACTATGTATAGTATAGATACAATTAAAAATTTATCTCAAAGCAAAGAAAGCAAAATATTTATGTGGAAAATGAAAAATAAAGGTAAGTGATTAGTTGTGAACTATTTTTGTAAAATAAATAATTTAGCAATCGATGAATTGAAAAAGCAATGTCGATGACAAGCAGATCGCTGTCTCATCGTGTTATGTTCCTCCACGAGAGGGTAATAATTGGTGATCCCCAATCCAACGCAATAATTTCTCTTTTTTGATTTAATACTTCATCCGTTTCATAATATAAGTCGTTTTAGATGAAAGTACGCCGATTAAGAAGATATACTTTTCAAAAGTTCAACCAATCATAAAAGAGACTGCATAATATAAATAATCATAAAATATTAAAGTAATATATAATTTGCATCGAAACTCGAAAACAACTTATATTGTGAAACAAAAAGCTTTTTCTAAAACGCCTTATATTATGAAACGGAGGGAGTAATATACTACTTAGATATATCCGACCATTTTAGGTAAAATATTTCAGGAAAATTATAAAAAATACAATATGAATATTTTTTTTCAAAATCAAATCTTAAAATTAATTTAAGATGTTACTAACCGTTTAGGAAGAATTTTTAAATGATTTTAGTAAACCTTATTAAACTTTTCAAAACCATTATCAAACTTAAATTTTATGCTATTTTCGAACGTTTTCTAAAATAGTTTTTTTCTTCTTCTGTTAAAATGCAAATGTAGTTACTCAACATAAAAGAATTATGTACAAAAGAAATAAAGAATAGAATGGATAGAAAACATTGGTCTAAACAAGTGCGGAAATAAATTGAGTGGGTTTTATATATGACCGTAAACCAACGGATCAGTTGAGTGGAAATAAATTAGCGTCGTGGTAACAAAAAGAGCCGATGCGGTTGCGGATAACCTTGTTACGAAAAAGATAAACGGTTGGATGAGACCCTTGTAGTATTTATAGGGAAATTTTTCCATATATAAAATTACTTTTTTTTTTGTCGGCAATATTTTCATTGATAGCTAAAAACTTGGCCCATGAAGTACAATTGGATATGAAGCCCGAAAACTAAAGATTACAATAAGCCCACACGTGGCCTTCAATAATTCTCCGGGAAGGAAACTCCACCGACAACAACCGCTGGTCGAAGAAGCTCCTGAAGGTTGATCTCCGATGACTCCAACTAAGAACACCATGAATCAACCTGCCTTTCTTCAAATCCAATTGAGCAGCCTCCCTCCTTCAATCATCACTTCGCTAGAGAATCGATTTCTCCTTTGTCGAAAAGCCAACTCAATTCTTCAACCCGAGAGAAGCTTTGCTTCAGAGCCTATCTGAAGGCTCCACTAAGGGAATATCAAAGATATTACTCTCGCCAGAAGGAAGAACTAAGCCAACTGATTAGAAAGAAATCAAATTAAGTCCATAAGGATGAAGAGAACTGAAACTACAAAACTAAAAAACAAAAAAATCCGAACTAAATCGAAGGTTATATAAACACAAACAAAAGATCCGGACATAGCCGGAAGCTAAAACCGATTTTCGATCAGAGATCTGAAATCGGAAAGCAAAATCGCATCTCTCTCTGAAAGATAAGTGAGAGAGAAGATATATAAAATTACTTTTAACGCTAATAATATTTTAGTTATAGATTAAATATGATTTTGCCCCAAAAAAATAAATTAAATATGATATGTTAGAATTTGATTGAATTATATAAGAACTATCAATTTCAGACCAAAATGTTAAGTCACGGCAAAATGAGAAGTTTTAGTAAATATACATTCGTTTTGTTCACTAATAAAGGTATTTTAGTCATCAGTTGCAATATAAAATTTAGAAGATACATTTTTTAGTCCTACGAGAGAGGAAAGCAATAAATACATTCCCCAAAACAAAAACAAAAAATAGACCACACACGGTAACAGAATGGAAAAAACCAATTTGCAAAATTACACCCAAAAAAATGAAACACAAGAAACACACCCATATACAAAATAAACAATAATGAATATGAACCCAATGAACCAAGAAGTACACGCCGTTCGTCAGGTGTTTGCATCGATAGGAGCACCAGTTCTAGCCTGCGAGATCCGGTTTGCGTAGATGGTCACTAGACGAACCTGCGTGCTGTTTAGACCTTCCAAATACGGCAAAAATGCTTTCCCAAGCATTATATATATGTCTACCAGACAGAACACCACTGTCTGCAATAGACAACAAAGAGCCTCATAGGGAGTTATTACTTGTCCAATTTCATAAAATCTAAGGTTACTGGTATGAGTAGAAAAGTCAAGTTTTTTAATTCCAATTCGTTTACCTTGCGGACATCTGCGCTTTGGCTCCCAAATGCTTCAAAAACCGCCGGCAAAAAAGACGACAACTGATCCATTAATTCCTCTTGCGAGAGCCTACCCACAAGCTGTACACAAGAACCAACGAAACTGTTTCAGTAAGACCTGATGATTATATCTACATGCGACTTTGTATTAACAATCTCGGAAAACCACAAAATATACCGTAAAATTCAGAAATCTTACCTTCGTTAAACAATTTATGCAAGCGACAAGAGTTTTCTCATCTTCCGTCACCAGTAATGGGACAATAACCTGAAGCAAAGACATATCGCTTAGATTATATCAACTAAAAGAAACGAAAGCATAAAACCAAAATGAGGCCGTGAAAAGTGGACCCTAAGTGCATACACTTAAGCATCTGAAAGGATCGTATTGGGACAAGACCGTGGTCAAACATTGCTCAGCTTCAGTGGAAACCTGAAAAGATATTATCATATGAGATCTGGAGACATTCAGAAAGGGGTTGATCCACAAGGATAAGGTTTGAGCGTGCAATCGTTACTTTTGGAACAGTGTCCTTTGAGACATGAAGCAGCTTTTCGATCACTATTTCAACAGAATCTTCCATGGCATCTTTCTGAAATTAATAAGCAAGATATATACAAGTAAGAAAAGGTGTTCGTAATTTCACAGAGCCACCCTTAATGTGTTAGAGATGATTGATTGACGAGTCTAAGTAAGGAACAAACCTGGCTCTTTAGCATTTCAGAAATCAGTGAAACGGCAAGCTCTCTGATTGAAAAATCTTCGTCATCGAGCACTTCAAGAACCACCGTCAAAATTTGATTGAAGTACTGGGAATAGAAAAGTAGGAGGAATATCCATTAGGATTGATAGGCAAGTGTACATGGTAAATCAACTATGAACAATTGACTACTTCTGATTCAGAACAACAAAACGAACGAGAATCACCAGCAAAAATCACAACCAGTGAATTCATGGCGTGCTAAGTTTTTAGTCGTACTACTTAAAAGTTCAGATCCATTTAGAATTGTGATATTTATCCCACAACAGGTTTACCAACACATATTTTTCTTGTCTTACCCAATCTTAATTAGCCTAGTAAGTTTCATAGCCTTACAATCAATCATAACAGTAGAACTGTAATATATAAGATATAAATGTCAGGACCAATTATTCCAACTAGTGGAACCATGGTTCATTAGGTATACCTTGGTCCAAACAGATTCCTCGTTAGCTACAGAGGCTTCAATCAATTGCTGGAGTCCAGATTTCTTGCTCGAAGAAGGGCTTCCATCACTCCCGTTGATCTGTGAAAGCATAATCATCAGATATGCTTTTTAGTACCAGAGAAAAAAAGATAACGACATTTAGCAGATGTGAGAATAGTTACTAACCATATGTAGAATCTGAGGAATGCTAGGTCCAGATTCCGGTGTTGGGTTGACCTTAATAGATGCGAGCATGTAGTGACCTAAATCTAATTCGCGGGAGACCTCATTATCATGTCTTCCTTCCAAGGAATCAGCACTTGTCAGATTCAGACCATTTTTCTCCAAATGTGGTGGAGATAAGCCATCCAAGATTTCGATGTTGTCTGAGCTTCCATTAGGGCTAGTTCTTGATATCATATTCTGACCAGCTGAAGCAAATGTGTAATCAGAATCCTTGGGGTTCAACAGATCACTAGCTGAACTGATCCCAGTTCTGAGGTTCTGATACAGCTTTTCCTGGGTTCCACTGGAAACACTTTGACCACCACCACCAGTGATCATTGTTGGCTCCTGAGAAGAACTCCACTTCCTGCCACTATCACTGTCAACAGAACCCCCAGAATACCGGCCAAGGAATATATTCTTTTTGGAGGCACCAGCATATCCTTCCTCGGATGATGTCCCAATGGCATCAGATGGGTCATAAGACTTTATTCTCTGTTTTTCCTTTTTACTCTGCATATAGTTTAATAGGTCCACCTCGATGCGGGGAGTATATTGTTTGAGGGCTCTTCTCAGAGAGTTTTGCTCCTCAACCGACAAACTAAGAATGTAATTTAGCAGTCCCGCAGAATCATAATGATTGTAAACAGATATGATGCAAGTAATGGAAGCTTCTTTCAACTTGGTATTTTTGTCGCGGGTTAATGGCGTCAACTTTGCCAGCCACAACTTTAAGATACCACTATTACCCGAAATTTCAGGGTTACCAGCGTACCTGTTGAAGGAGTTGATGGCAAATTCAATCACAGCTAATTTAGCCTTTGGTGATCTCTGCTCATCCAGTGAACGAAGCAATGCAGGTAAAAGGGAATCCACACTGTAGGTTTTGCTGACAATTTCCAAGGTTGAGGAGCAAGGTTGTCTAACTACCTCTTTAGGATCAATTAGCCGTGAAAACACATGGGGTAGGACTCTTTCCATGTAGCTCTCAAAAGGCTTTCGGCAAGATGGTATAAGATCTGCGAGTGTCGACAGTGCTGCTTGTGCGACCTTGTGGTGAGGATCATCCAAATGCCGGAGAAATAGTTTCATTACTTTCTCAAAATTTTGAATTACTTCTTGAGCACCTTTTGGGCCTTGCTGCAGCAGAGTTTGGAGAAAATTAAAAGCTGCAACTCTGGCACACCAATCAGAATTTGAGTTCAGTCCATCGTTAAGGGCCTCGTTCAGGGAAGCTGGACCATCAACATAATTTGATATGTCACCAATTTGCAGTTGGCTATCATCAAAACTCCTCCTCCTGCCTGCGGACATTCTTCCCCCAACATTCTTCCTCAAAAGTGGCCTCTGGAAATTGGGAACATGGCTAGCGTTTGATTCCCTGAAAGTCAAATCTCTATAAGCGGTATCCATCTGCTGTCGGTCAAAATGACCTGCCACAAACCGCCTCGCCTCTCTGGCATCATTGCTTTCCTCAAGAGAACTTCTCTCATTTCTCTCTGAGACCCGTTTAGCTGTCAAGGATGAAAAGGTAGGATGAGACTCGGACAACAGATTGCCACGGTAAGATGATCTTCCTGAGTCCTTTGAAGCTTGAATTTGGGTGATGATGTCTGACAAACCAAGTCCACCACTGCGATTACTGCCTTTGTTGATACTATGCGTTGATTCAGCAGCTGCGCTACTTGTGTGATTATTGGATGCTGGAACAGCAGCATGGAAAGGAGGATCACGAGACGATGGAGGGTCAACTCCTGCACTAGGGGAAAAAGAAGACAATTTAGCTGCGCAAGGAAATCTTAGCTCATGTTAAAGGACGTTTCAAAAACAAACTATACTCTCATAAGGAAAGAAACTCAATACCTAGATCCAAACTACTTGAACGAAGGGCTGCAGGATTTTGTCTATCAGATATATGCAGTCCTCGGAGCATACTTTCAATTGCACTGACCTTCTGCTTGCTTGATTGTAACACACTTTCCAGACTACGTTCAGAACCTTTATTGACATCCTTTGATTGGGAAAGGAGTAACCCAGAAGAAAGTGATCCTCCAGATGATAAATTTGAACTTCTATCCATAGCGACTATAGCTGATGTTCCATAGCCAGGTAGATTAGAAGGAGCAGACGTCTGAGAAAATGAAGGCTGGGAATGTCTCTCACGGACAGATGGTGAGGCGTGTCTCCTATGGATTC